CAGAGCCAAATAGCGCGTTTCAAAATTAAGTTATTTTATCGGCGAATCGGTTTTGAAAATGGCCGATACCGATAATCATAAAAATGCTTAATATCAGCCAGGCCGATAATCGGTCGACCCCTAGTCTGTATAGACAATAGACAATAGACAACGAAACAGTCACTTTTTGGTTGTTAAAAAAATGTGCGCTCGTTAAAAACAGTTGCGTTGGATCCTTCGCTGGCTGTGCTGATTTAAATCTAGTGGTTCTGTTGTGTTTGTGTCGCAAGTTCAGTGATGCAGGTAGTGACTATTCTCTCCGGCCAATCCGTGATCAGCAGAGTTTACACGTCACGTTTTGGTAACAGTACGGTTCACTTGGAACCTCAACCAAGGTGGTACTAAAAAAAGTACCAGGTACTGTACCCAGTGGAAAACCCCCCAAAAGTGAACCGTACTGAGCTGTACCGTGCCGTATTATGCAGTGGAAAAGCGCCAAAAGTTACTCGCCAATATCAAATCCGTCAACTGGCCCCGGGCCATCGGGCAGTCCTTATTGTTGAGTCCTGATGTTGTATGTTTCTATATTGTTTCTGTATTAGTCTATAATGAAATCTAAAGCCATATACTGTACTGTATGTGTATAGGGAAGCCATGGGATTGACTGGGAGGAAATCGGAGAAGAGTCCTGTTTGCTGGAGACGGAGAGTGAAGTCTGAGTACATGCGACTGCGGCAGCTCAAACGTTTCAGGAGGGCAGACGAGGTCAAGGTGATCCATGGGCTAATACAGCAGACATTAAGCTGCTCGTGTAGAGGTTGGGGTTGGTCAGGCTGTTATTATGTATAACACTGTTTCCACAAATGCTAAAAAGAGTCATGAGAACAACAATGTTGCCTGCCTGTCTATTGGATGATCTCACATTGAAATGTGTTTTCTTACTGTACAGAGCATGTTCAGCTACAACAGACAGAAGATATTGGAGCGTACAGACATATTGAACCAGGAATGGAAACTGAGACGGATACAACCTGTTCATATTATGACACCTGTGAGCTCCTTGCGAGGGACTAGAGAGGTTAGAACAAATCCTCTAATTTAGACTCCTAAAGTGCATGTGCATCTTCATTTCTGTTTGCTTTTTGAAAATGTCTATTAGTGTTTTATAATGAAATGCATTTAAAGTAAATGCTTATTATCCTAAAATTATCTTAGTATATAGACTTTTTAATCTAACATGACTGAAATATTTTGCAGTGCACTGTTGACAGTGGCTTCTCCGAGTTCTCCAGACAAGTCATTCCTCTCAAAACACTGAACGCTGTGGCCTCTGTGCCTGTCATGTACTCATGGTCTCCACTCCAGCAAAACTTTATGGTAAAACCAAATTTCTTATATTTGCAATGTATTTAAAAAAACACACTTTTAATCTTGTATTCTGTTTTAGGTTGAGGATGAGACCGTATTGCATAACATCCCTTACATGGGTGATGAAATCCTTGATCAAGACGGCACTTTCATTGAAGAGCTTATTAAAAATTACGATGGAAAAGTTCATGGAGATAGAGGTCAGGGATCTGTTTTTTTCTGATTTATAAGATTTGAGCTGGTTAGTGTTTTAAAGAAATATTTCCCCCAAAAATGATAATATAAAACAAAGTGGGAAACGGTTCAAATTTTTTTGACATTTTTTCTAATGCTCTACTGAATAAAAGCGCTCAGATTTGGTATGATGTTGGTGAGTAAATATTGGTGGGTGATATGAGCTAAAATTCAAATCACGAAATTTTACACTGTCCAGGCAATATCGATATTATATTGCGATATGAGAAAAAAAATAGCTCAAACGTTTCAGGAGGGCAGACGAGGTCAAGGTGATCCATGGGCTAATACAGCAGACATTAAGCTGCTCGTGTAGAGTTTGGTGTTGGTCAGGCTTTTAGGTGTCATGAGATATGGACAATGCAAATGCACTGTTATTATGTATAACACTGTTTCCACAAATGCTAAAAAGAGTCATGAGAACAACAATGTTGCCTGCCTGTCTATTGGATGATCTCACATTGAAATGTGTTTTCTTACTGTACAGAGCATGTTCAGCTCCAACAGACAGAAGATATTGGAGCGTACAGACATATTGAACCAGGAATGGAAACTGAGACGGATACAACCTGTTCATATTATGACACCTGTGAGCTCCTTGCGAGGGACTAGAGAGGTTAGAACAAATCCCCTAATTTAGACTCCTAAAGTGCATGTGCATCTTCATTTCTGTTTGCTTTTTGAAAATGTCTATTAGTGTTTTATAATGAAATGCATTTAAAGTAAATGCTTATTATCCTAAAATTATCTTAGTATATAGACTTTTTAATCTAACATGACTGAAATATTTTGCAGTGCACTGTTGACAGTGGCTTCTCCGAGTTCTCCAGACAAGTCATTCCTCTCAAAACACTGAACGCTGTGGCCTCTGTGCCTGTCATGTACTCATGGTCTCCACTCCAGCAAAACTTTATGGTAAAACCAAATTTCTTATATTTGCAATGTATTTAAAAAAACACACTTTTAATCTTGTATTCTGTTTTAGGTTGAGGATGAGACCGTATTGCATAACATCCCTTACATGGGTGATGAAATCCTTGATCAAGACGGCACTTTCATTGAAGAGCTTATTAAAAATTACGATGGAAAAGTTCATGGAGATAGAGGTCAGGGATCTGTTTTTTTCTGATTTATAAGATTTGAGCTGGTTAGTGTTTTAAAGAAATATTTCCCCCAAAAATGATAATATAAAACAAAGTGGGAAACGGTTCAAATTTTTTTGACATTTTTTCTAATGCTCTACTGAATAAAAGCGCTCAGATTTGGTATGATGTTGGTGAGTAAATATTGGTGGGTGATATGAGCTAAAATTCAAATCACGAAATTTTACACTGTCCAGGCAATATCGATATTATATTGCGATATGAGAAAAAAAATTACAGGCAAAATATTTTAACCGAATATAACTAGAAAAAGTGAAGGATTGGACATAAGACCTGAAAAGTCTTTTTTTTATTTTTATTGTGCCATTGTTTTTCTCAAAAAGTGCAAACGTGCAACATGAGGTAGGCCTGTATGAATTAAATTAAATTAAATATTGTGTGTTTGAGTAGGCCAGTGGTTCCCAAACTTTTTCTGCCGGGCCCCCCTTTTGTAGAGAAAAATATTTTCAAGGCCCCTCACCCTCACTCAAGGCCCATGGTACTACATACCAAATTGAACAAAACTATATAAATGCAAAATATGAATTAATGAATATATAACGGTATCCATGGTATAGCAAAATCCATATCATGGAACAACATAATACCGGTAGTCACGTTCATACCGGTATAGCACCCACCCCTATGAGTAAATAATGACAGTTTTCATTTTTGGGGGAAATATCCTTTTAAGAATTGATTCACAATTATCTGCTTAAGCAGAACTCACATTTCCGCAGTATTGATTTCTTGTTCTGTTTTGTGTCTAGAGTGTGGCTTCATAAATGATGAGATCTTTGTGGAGCTAGTGAATGCACTCAATCAGTACAGTGATAATGAGGAGGAGGATGATGAAGAGGAGGATCAGCATGATTGCAAGTTTGAGAAGATGGACCTCTGTGATGGAAAAGATGATGCTGAAGACTCTCACAAGGACCAGCTGAATTCTGAGAGTAAGAAAAATTAAATGGTTTTTAGTGTAAAGTATGTAAAAACACATCTAGCTTTGATACAATTAAAATATATTAAGCTCCACACATTTATTTTTATTTTTTTTTTAAACAAACTCCAAAGATTTACAGCAGTGTGCATCAACAGTGTTACATATGTTAGTACTGTAGCATGTATATGTATTTTGGGACTTTAGATAATTTTCTCGTTCAGTGCATGGTATTGTTTTTCAAACAAATCACACACCCTTTAGTGCTGACAATAAACAGGCATTTTATTACATGGTGCATGTTACAATTTCTTTTTTTATTATACAGTTCATTTTTCAATAACAAACTCTGTGTTTTCTTATTGTATGCAACAGGTCTCAACAATGACGGATCAAAAAAGTTTCCCTCTGATAAAATCTTTGAATCCATTTCTTCCATGTTTCCTGATAAAGGTTCAACTGAAGAACTCAAAGAAAAGTATGTTAGAAAACAACTCCTCTGAATAAGAACTTCCAATGGTTATGATAAACATAAATGGAAAATAATGTGAAGCTTGTTTTTATGGGTGGTGATCATGTTTTGAGATATATTGTCTTTTTGCAGATATAAAGAACTCACTGAGCAGCAGCTCCCAGGGGCTCTTCCTCCTGAATGCACCCCCAACATTGATGGTCCAAATGCTAAATCAGTGCAAAGAGAGCAGAGTCTGCACTCTTTCCATACACTCTTCTGCAGGCGTTGCTTCAAATACGACTGTTTCCTTCACCGTAAGCAATGATTAGACAAAATGCTGTCATCTAACAATAAAAATCAACTATTTAAGATTGCATTTCTATAAATGCATTCCTCTTTTGATTTACAGCTTTTCATGCAACTCCAAACACATACAAGCGTAAGAACATGGAGAATCTGGTGGACGGCAAACCATGTGGCATTTATTGCTACATGTATATGGTTCAGGCAAGTGCATTTCTCCACTCCTTTCAAAATGAAAGATATTGTTAACCCTGAAGGCTTGATATATTTGTGTGGTTTGAGTTGGCACAAAACTGCAAGTGCAGTCATGATTTCTGTCTGAAAGTGTTTGCGTACAGGTTTTACACATAATTGCTAATCTTTTCAAGTGCTGCTTAATTCTGACTTTCACTCTATGATTAACCCTGGCATACATATCTCTTTAGGATGGCATTGTCAGGGAATACCCAGCAGGTGTGGTTGCTGAGCGTGCCAAGACCCCTTCTAAGCGCACAGCAGGCAGACGCAGAGGAAGACTCCCGAACAGCAACGGCAACAGCAGACCCAGCACCCCAACAGTTAACACTGAGACTAAAGACACGGATAGCGACCGAGAGGGAGGGGCAGATGGAAATGACTGTAATGATAAAGATGATGATGATAAAAAGGATGAGACCACCAGCTCCTCAGGTAGAGATTGAGTGTCTATGAAAATATATCAGTGTAATATTCAGGGATGCAAACTCATCATGGGTGAAAAAGGTGACAAAGACACACCCCTCACACCCCCCCAAAATAAAACCCTACATTTAAGAATGCATAATATTTTAAAGCCTTTGTTTATTTTAAAAAAAATTTTTTAACTCCGCTAACATTCACTTTAAATTTTCACTTTCATTCATGAAGAAGACGTGAAAAAAAAATTGTCTCCTGGTGGAAAACAAAGACTTAAAGTGCCCCTATTATGCCATTTTTAAGGTTCCTAATATTGTTTTGTGAGTCTCCTACAATAGGATTACATACATGCAAGGTCAAAAAACGCTTTCGTTTTCTCAAAATATGCATTTAATATCACCTCATTTTCCAGCGATTCTCAAACGATTCGTTCGAAGCAGTTCTAAGATTCAGTCTCTCTAAAACCCTCCTTTCCGTGAGCCTACTCTGCTCTGATTGGTCAGATGGCCCAGTCTGTTGTTATTGGTCTCCCACGTACAGCGCGTGTCGGAAACGATACGCCCTTTGCCATAGTTCCGTATTTTGAATGCTCGATAGAAAATATAAACATCTATTATTTATCATACTTGTGATTCAGTGGAGCCAGCTGGTCCAAATAAACAGGGTACTGAGCCATCTTTCAAGAGCAAGCGTTTAGTGAATCCCGTGTTGAACTCCCCAAGATTTTTTTTTTTAACTCCCCGAGATTAGAGAAGCAGTTGTCAGTAAAATGACATGTTTGTGGGCGGGGTCAAGTTGTTCGCTGCCGGCCAACGTAGAACATAGGTGGGAATTATGCAAATGTGTTACCCCGTGACGTGTAGCCATCACTGAAGTGGGATTCGAATTACTAACGACTCGTTTAGGCTGTAGAGAGACAATAACTTTATTTATCGTGCACTTTCGGCTTTACAACTTTGCTGATCGTTTACATTCACATGCAGCTACATTACACACTGCATGAAAGGCAATATTGGAAATGGCATAATAGGGGCACTTTAAAGGGGTCATATGATTCTTGTAAGGTGATATGAGATATTGCTGGCCCACTTTGGCTGAATGTGTTAGATAAAGTGGGCCGACCTTTAACCTTCAGTAATTATACCCAAATTCATTAAATAATGACATTCACTGGTTATTTTATGGTTGACATGTATAATCTACTTGTTTAGAAAACAGAAATGAGACTGCAGTCAGGAATTCAAGTCAGAGATGGAAGAAATGAAAGAGTCGAGGCATGTGAGGAAAAGCATGAGAGGAAAAAAATATAGATGCAGAATATAAAGCTTTAAAATATGGTTTCGAGAGCATAGACAGAAAAGACATTTTTACATATGGTTACCATTTTAAATGTTTCTCTTATAATTTTTTTTAGCCTATTCGTTGTTGCTTGTGTTGTAGTCACATCTTTAATATACCGTAGACTTCATTTTTGATCAATATTCTGATTTGAAGTTGATGTATTTCCTCAGCGACCAGCATGGATCAGCTCTAGGCATGACTAACTTTTATAAAGAATATCTCTTTGGATTTGAGACTTTAGTCTTTGCAACTTTACAGATCTTCTTTATGCACCAAGAGCTTGTAAACACTTCAAAGAGAAGGGAAAAATTGAAATCGCATCTTATGACCCCGTTAAGATGAAAATGACATGAAATTACCATTATATCCAGTAGATGGCAGCAGAGGATCACTCATTAGCTCAGTTGCCATTTCCACTCCCTAGTTTTTTTTCATGTCTTGCTTTTGGATTTATTATAAAATGACTATGAATTATAGCAAGTCCAGGAAGTCACAAAGTCTCATGTCATTTAAAAATAAATAAATAATTAACCCTACTAGGCTGTTGGTGTTTAAATACTTTATTTAAATACTTAACTAGTTAACTACAAATTAAGTTAATTGTTAATGGTATAATAATTAAATAATGCATTAAATATTTTGACTTTTTTTTAAAATTTAATTTAAAAACTATATTTTTTAAACATTGCCTAAAAAAGGACACATCAAAAAGAGTGCTTTAAGTTATCTTTACCTGTAGAAGCTGCTAAAGCCAACACAGACTTGTTGCTGCTGTCGTTTTTGTTACTCTGAATTTACTCTGCATCACATAAAGCACAGCTCTATTTTGACATTGGCTTGTCAGATAGTTCGTTCCGTCCATTGCTACAGTTATCACCATCAATCGCTGAACAATTTGGTGGATTCACCCGCATAATTTTTTACACTCGTATTTGTCATTCCTGAAACAGTATACGTGGACGATTGGGTCCTCTTAGACAAACAAAACTTTTCTTCAAACTGTGAATGAAGTATGTAGAGAAACCAAGCAAAGGGCGCTTCCCTTATAGCGAGCTTACTCGTGCGAAAACTCCAGATATAATCAATAACCATCTACACAATGAATATCTTATTTACATCGTGTAGATTAGATCAGAGCGGATTCTGACTAACCTACAGTAAACACCTCTGATTGGCCACTGCTTTCAACAGAGATGCCCTGCGACTGGCTACAATAATCATTGCTGCAAAACACGTTGTAAATAGAAACTTTTGGTTTTGTATTTTGAAATCAGAGCGTGCACACAAAAACACACAGGAGAGTTTGAAAGCCGTTGACATCGAGGTGATACAGAATTGAGTTGGTATACTGGTACTGTAAAAAAATTAAAATAAAACATTTTAAATGTAAAAACTCACGGGATCTACACGAATCACACAAATGACCCATTTTGAATTCAAAATGGCGAATTTCGCCGAAAGGTGACAAGTTTACATCCCTGAATATTTGATTGGGTACCGTCAACCATGAAAATCATATTAATAAAGTCACATAGTAATGTCACAATTGATTTTACATTAGTGTTTTGGAGCTATGAAAATGTATTTGCTTATCCAAGTTTTCCTGTTATTTTAGATTTTATTTCCATTTAATAATTATTTATTTATTTATTTTGTACAGAGGCGAACTCCCGCTGTCAGACTCCAGTGAAGTTTAAGTTGAGCTCAGAGCCTCCTGAGAATGTGGACTGGAGTGGCGCTGAGGCCTCTCTCTTCAGAGTGCTCATTGGCACTTACTATGACAACTTCTGCGCTATCGCCAGACTCATCAGCACAAAGACCTGCAGACAGGTACACACACCTGAGAAGATGGCTTTATGCAATCACATTACATATTGCAGTGTTCATAATACTGCTAAATGCTAGACAACTATGTAGGGCTGTGCAATTAATCGAAAAACAATTTCGATTTCGATTTTGGCCTCCAACGATTGTTTTGTAGCAAAAAAGAAACAAAGTTTAATTCTTACAATGAAGACTATGCTGTTTTATTTTACATTTGATTATTCATTTCTGTAGTAGGCTGTAAACTGCTTGAGACTTGCATAAAAAACATTAAAGTCCGCTTGAAATCAAAATTGACTTTATTTACTTTATTTAGCGCACATTGCTAGTATTGATGTGAACAATTAATCCGTGCAAGTTAATCCGCTGAAAAAATTGTTTGTTTTGGTAATCTTTAATCAAAATCGGAACATTTGCTTCTGCTCTGGAATGGCATTCCTTCACTGATGACATCAGTTTGACGGCTTGGGCAGAATATCCTTAAACACACCCCGCCAACCATTAGGTTGCTATGAGTGAGAGACAGATAGGAGGAGCGCAAAAATAAAACCACGCCCTCTATTCAATATTCCGTTTCAACTGGAAATACATCACTACACTGAAATAAAGTAGACAGCAACTTTTTTTTAGGACTTTTTGTTTGTTTGTTTGAAATTCCACTGGTCTCTCTACAATGTAGATGTCATAGCAACCTTATTTACAGGAAATATATATTTGATATGTATCACTATCTTTAAATAAATCACTCATATAAAGTTTTGGTCATATGGCCCCCTCATAATCGTGTTAAATAATCGTGATTACAATATTGGCCAAAATAATCGTGATTATGATTTTTGCCATAATCGAGCAGCCCTACAACTATGCATAATTGCTGTGGAATTATTTTTGGGTACCTGGTAATTACAAGTTACCACAAACAGTGAAATTAATTTATGTTTTAGGAGTTTTTCTTGTTTTGGGCTTTGTCAGGTTTATGAATTCAGGGTAAAAGAATCTAGCATCATTGCACGTGCACCTGCGTTGGATGAAAACACTCCTCAAAGGAAGAAGAAGAGGAAACACAGGTGTGTGTTCAAAGTGATATTTGTAAGAATCTGACTACCTTTCTTTTTTTTTTTTTTGTCACTTTCAATATATTATGATTAGAAATGTGCCGGTATTCGGTAATGCGATGTATCATGATAATGAACATGCATGATATTGTTATCGTGGGCACATTAAAATACCGTGAATAATTATTTATTACAAATTATTCCGATTTTTTGAATGCATTTTAAGAATACTTTTCCCATCAACTGGTCACAATGCACAATACCGCTGCGCACTCATGTAAACAAGCAGCAGGTTGCGCTGAACAGCAGAAACACAGCCGTTACCCCGGAAACCCTGTAAACAAAGCAGCGTACTTTCTGAAACCTATTTGAATGATTTAAACGTATACATATCTATGATTTAAACAGCCATTCAGATTTGTGTATTCGCTATGGTGTTCATCACAGCACCAAACAACACCAGTCAGGCAGCTCATGTATGCAACATCAATGTGACACCCAGTTTACACTAAAACACTGGAAAATAATCTTGAGGTTTGGTCTTGGAAAGGGGAAACAATGCAGTAATTGCTTCTTATTCTCTAAATGTGATGGCAAGTTAAAAGCATTTCATTTTGACCTATGTTTTAAATCAGTTGTTTTTGTAGAAGAGAGTTTTTTAGCAGAACTCTTGCATTTAAATTATTTATACTGAATGTAGGCAAATTAATATATAACTTTTATAACTGAGGTGAAGGTATTGGAGGTGAAGTTATTGCATTCATATGAAGTGTTTTTTTTTTTATAACAGCCATGATTGATTTGAAAAAGTCAGGTCTAGAATCAGGAGTTATTTTTGAACTAGATATTTCTACAGGGTTCCTACAGGGTTTGGAAAAGTATGGAATTTGATTTAAGTAATTTCCAGGTCTGGAAAAGTACGGAAAAAAGAAAGCAGAGTATGGAAAAATATTTGCATTTCCAGACTTTTGCCCCCATTTCGTTTTTTTTATAATAGAAATTTAAGAATTTAATGAAAATAAGTTTATCATACAAGAAAGTGGCAGCTGTTTAGTGATTCTTTAGTGATTGTCAAACACGACTGGTGCACTTGGTGCAAGGTGCACTTTTTCATTTTGCATTTTGGGTTTCTTCTCACGATATTCTTAGCACCATATTACATAGCCTCAAGGACCTTTGCAAAAATAAAAAATATACAGACTTTTATGTGCGCACGAGAAACCATAACACTTAGCATATAGGACAATGCATACTGAGCCACCTATTGTTCCATCAGCCCATTTCGCGGTGTGGTTTTTTGGCTGCCACAGAATATGCGTTAAAGAGACCTAAGGCCTTGAAATATGACATACATTAAGCCATACTAAGCCACATTTTGAACTCTTTTTTTTTTTTTTTTTTTTAAAAACACTTTTTTTTTTTGTTGCCAAAAGGAATTTTGCACACAGCCATATTATGCCATCAGCCCATTTCGTGTCATGGTTTTTCCGCCACCGCAGAGGCTAAATTGAACATTAGTCCTTGATATTAGAGGTACTACTATAAGGAAAGCCAAATTTTGAGCAAGTAGATCTCTATTAATTCATGTGCATCCATGCTCTTGCTTTATTTATAGCAAGATGGCAGTGATGCACAAAGGAAATATGTTGTATAAAACTAGAAATTGTGTAAGAATGCAAAAAAATTCCCATGCACATGTGAATAGTTTCTCGAGGGCACAAAAAAGTTTCTTGTGTGCATGCAAAAGTCTGTTTTTTTTATTATTTTTTATTTTAAGGTCTCTGTATGTTCACTTGTATGTTTCTATCACTTCAAGAATATCAATGAAAAAAATCAATTTCAAATCAATTTGAAAAATTTTATAGGTGACTGTAATATATTCCAAATATAAAACTGATAATAGTTCTGTATGAACCATTTATCCAATCCAACAGGGGCAGGTTTATGTAGGAAGCACAGCTTTTCCAAATGTAAACATTTAAATGAATAAATAATAATACAGGGTGGCCGCGGGAACCTTAAAAAATCTTAAAATGTCTTAAATAAAGTTTTCCTAAAATAAGGCCTTAAAAAGTCTTAAAATATGCTTAAAAGTATGCATTTTTCCCCAACATTTATTTATATGTTCAAAAATTTATTTACAACATTAATCCCATAACATTATTTATTGCTGTTGTAATTTTGTAATTATTGGTAATCAAATGAACATGCAGAACTGCAGAAAAAACATTTGTTTTTTGCAGGTTAATATTTACAGACACTAGTCTGTATCACGATTTGATTTAAGTGTACTGACGTGTTTTTTATTTATTCATCAAAAATAAGACAAATTCCATGAAATTCTGCGTTATACAGTAAATTCCGTTTTTATGAATGGATTCCGCTACTTCGTCTGCGTTTTCCATATCGCGGAAATCACAGGGCCCTACTAATGTAGCAAACATGTATGATAAGCTCATTGTGAGAGTAAAAGACGGGGAAATTGTTTATTTACTTTATAGCATTGAGTCTCTCCAACTGGGTGACAACGTAGCGTTAAATCACCATTCAACAGACTCAAGCCACCACCGCACTGCCGTCTATTGGACTGTAGAAAGATACTAACTTTTCAATCTGCTACGCTACTGACTGTATTGACAAACTATGCTGGCACCATGTCTGCGCCGCAACAGGACGTGACAAAGCGACCGTTGAAAATCATTTTAACTTTTTGTCAGTACGTCACAAATAGAACGAGGCATCAGTTTACAGCATCCAGTGTAGACAGCATCACTGATTATAATGGGTTCTATTGTATTTTGTTGCGCCGCTCACGTCCGGTGTAGACACCCAGTTAGGAAATGTGATGTGACCGATGTGATAAGCATGAGTTCTGGGCCGCGGCGTGGCCGGTATAAACACAAGCATTGACTGAGTGGCCACGATCAGCTTCGGTGGCCGTGGAGCCGTAATGTGCCGCAGATGCGTGCCGTGATGCGCAGATCAGCTCTAGTCTCTAACGCCACTGAATCTGCTGTTAAAAATGAACCATCCATTCATCATATCATCATGCAAAACTAAGAATTAGAATCATTGTAATGTGATGATCAAATATAGGGGCGGTGGGTGACAGGCGGATAATTTATTTGAAGTAGCGGACTCGGGTGAAGTTTGAGCTCATCCGCACATCTCTACACTGACCTGAGTCGCTAGTAGCAAACAATGGAGCGCACTCTGCTGGACAAACTTACACCATGTAGAAGCATTTCATCTGCGTTATATGTTCTGTAAAAAAAATTCTCATATCGGCGGCATATTCACCGATACAATATATCTGCGACAGGCTCATATTGGCCGATAATATCGGCAAAACGATATATCGGGCGGGCTCTACAAAAATCTACTGAGAGGTTTAGAAATTTGAGTCTGGAAAAGTATGGAATTTTGAAATGGAAAATGTGTAGGAACCCTGTTTCTATCTGTACAGGTCAGAACCGGTTTCCAGGCTGCCGCTGTAAGGCCCAGTGTAACACCAAGCAGTGCCCCTGTTACCTGGCCGTACGAGAGTGTGACCCTGACCTGTGTCTCACCTGCGGGGCGGCTGATCACTGGGACAGTAAAAATGTCTCCTGCAAGAACTCTAGCATCCAGAGAGGAGCAAAGAAGGTACATTTTAATTTGTCACACATCAGCATGAAGATGCATGTCATTTTTCACAAATATAAAAAAAGACATTAATAGACTGTTGCTCGACCATTTAGTTGTGATACACCCTCTTTTCTTGGTTATTTATGCCATTTCTTCTTAAAAAAATTTTTTTTTTTTTTTTAAAGCACTTGCTACTGGCTCCATCTGATGTGGCCGGATGGGGAATCTTCATCAAAGAGCCAGTTCAGAAAAATGAGTTCATCTCCGAGTACTGTGGGGAGGTGAGATGTTAAAATAAATAAATAAATAAACATCAAGACTACATAACGCACAGTGAAGTTTCCTTTTTACGTGACGTGTTTCTATTTTTACCTGCTAGATCATCTCCCAGGATGAGGCAGACCGCAGAGGCAAGGTGTATGACAAATACATGTGCAGCTTCCTGTTCAACCTTAACAATGGTAACTAACCTCTATCTTGCAAATGTTCGCTGTTCACACGCCCCCTCACTGGCTGACAACCTCCCACCTTTCACCCACAGATTTTGTTGTTGATGCAACTAGGAAAGGAAACAAGATCAGGTTTGCCAACCACTCTGTAAACCCCAACTGCTATGCAAAGGGTAAGTCACTCAGAATCTTGTACTAAAAGGATCTTGTGTGTAAAATGTGATGTCATGATCTGTTCCTGTCTGTCCCCACAGTGATGATGGTTAATGGGGATCACAGGATTGGCATATTTGCTAAGAGAGCCATACAGACTGGAGAGGAACTGTTCTTTGACTACAGGTAAAAAAAATATATATGTGACCCTGGACCACAAAAGCAGTCTTAAGTCGCACAGGTATATTTGTAGCAATAGCCAACTAGGCTTGCCGCGATAGACGTGTTGACGGTGATACCGGTGTTAAGCCGCAACACCGGTTACGTATTAATCCTACCTATATTCAAGTGTTGATAAAAAAAAAAAAAAGAATGCTTTAAGCTAGAATAAACTGAATTTTTTGTTTAAAAGTAGAGGCTCTGACCTTTATTTTGGTGTATTGCATATTCAAATATTCATACAGCAAAATATACTGGAGGCCATCAAATTTGAGAGAAAATCATCAAAATCGCTGGCGGTGGCTGGCAACAAGTAAAGATCATGTTCCATGAAGATATTTTGTAAATTTCCTACCATAAATATATCAAAACTTCATTTTTGATTAGTAATATGCATTGCTAAGAACTTCATTTGAACAACTTTAAAGGTGATTTTCTCAGTATTTAGATTTTTTTGCACCATCAGATTCCAGATTTATCTGATCAGATTTATGCATCTCGGCCAAATATTGTCCTATCATAACAAACCATACATCAATGGAAAGCTTATTTATTCAGATTTCAGATGATTTATAAATCTCAATTTTGAAAAAATTGACACTTGAGGCTGGTTTTGTGGTCCATGGTCACATATAGGTGCAGATATATAGGTGCAGAGGTGTTTTCTTTAAATTAATGCAAAAAGTGTTTTCTTTGAGAGGTGCTTTTGAACCATCTAACCTAATGTTTACGTTTCTCTTTTAGATACAGTCAAGCTGATGCTCTGAAATACGTAGGTATTGAACGTGAAATGGAAATTCCATAAAGCCATCTACCTCCTTCAACAAATGCCTTACACTCATCAGGAATTTTCTCTCCACATGCATTTCCAATACAGTTTAGATTCAGTTTTATAGGACAAGAGCAAAGTTTTTAACAGTGATATTTTGAAGACTTCCTTTTAGAAAAAAACCCCCCGACCAACAGGCCGACTCTGGGATACACTTTCTGATAGTAATTTGAACATTCTGTCATGTTTACAGTTGAGGTTTTAGTAGAGAGTCATTTTATAATGGGCCATTGTTTTGTATTTGGATTGTAGGTGTTTTTTGTTTTCAATTATTTTGACAGTTTCCTCTATACCTTTGGACCAAATTTCACATTTAAACTGGCTGTACGTTTGTAATGCGAAAACATATATCATGCAGTCCCCACCGTTTTAAGGTTTGTTCGTGGAAACCAAAGCCACTGTCACTGCTTTGCATGTTAATCTCTCCAGAACCATGTTGCAGAGGTATTAAGTGCATTTTGTGGTGCCAATGCACAGTTGCTGTAAAAACAAAACAACTTGATTTATGTAAGAAGGGTAGACTCGGTATAATATTATTGCGGTGCCTTGACATGTTTAAAGAACGCTGAATAGATTCTTGAATTAGATTTCCTAAAATGTTGAATGGTATACTCAAATTGTTGTATGCATGAACAAAGGTTTCAAATGGAGTGGAATCAGGTAACTCTTCATTCCTTACTGTACATTTTGTAATGTTTATTCAGACAGTTTCAGCTATGAACTATAGACGTCACTAAATGTAAAGAGATTGGATTAAGGTGCTGTTCTCATCCCTGGTTACGTGAAAAAACAATCACTTTTTTTTCTGAACGTGGGATACTGTAAAATGGAAGCAATAATACCAGGCTTGACTCCAGAAGTCCCTATTTATTTTATGCGTGTAAACAAGTTTTATAATTTATTGATGGCTATTGTTTGCTGTGATTTGTCTAGTGAATATTAGGGAGTTACTTCTTAGGAGGTTGCTCATTTTAATCCACATTTCTCCTCTGAACCTGTTGCTCCCCCTCTTGTTTCTACTCTTTCTTTCCTGAGGGTTTTTGACCACTCCATCTCCATGTTTTCACTTCCAATTTCAAGGTGCTGTTAAATTGTTTACAGGGACTTGTTAAACGTGATCAAATAAACGTTGAAAATAATTGTCTGCTGTACTGTTTAATTACGATAGGCTAGAAATTCAGCTCAGCCACTTGAACAATGAACATAAATGAGAAAACCTAGCACTGAGAACGCATAAAGAAAAATTAAGTTTATTCATGACATTTATAAAATGAACTGCACTATACAAATCTCGTGGCTGGTAACAATGCAGCTCTAAACTACGGAGCCCCTAAAGGGACATGGTGGTGGGAAAAAAATTCGGGGTGGGAAATTTTTTTTTGCGTTTTCTCGCAAAAGATATTTGCGTTTTGCGAGGGAACGCAAAAGTTTTGCGAGAACACAAAAAACCTGACACATATTTTTTCCTCCCACCCCAAATTTTTTCACTCAATCTGATTTTTTTCCACCACCATGTCCCTTTAGGGGCTCCGTACTAAACAGCCAATCAGAAATGATTATTCTCAGAGTGCTCTTACCTCTAGGTATTTCTGTCTGCAACCAACAGCCTTTTTTTTTAATCTGTCAGTTTTCCAAAAGTAATTATAATTACAATTAAATTAATCAGCATTTTGTATTTTCATAATGATAGGCATTAGCATGCAACCCTGACTCTGGGTCCCACTATGAGCATAGTTCAATGTCCAATATTTACACATTAAAAAGTAAATGGCAATCCTGAGCAGCTTAAGGGCATAAAGAAGAAGACTGGCTGCTTTAGCAGTCTGGGTTTAAAGGGAAAAGTCCAGTGTCACATTGTCCTACTCGGCAACGATGCCTTGAGATCTTTATGAGAGAATCCTCTGTTTGTCTGGCTCCGCTCTGTGTTTATTCCTCAAATATCTAAGGACATCAGAGGACATTGTTATGCCAAGTAACTATAAGTGTCTTTTTCCCCATCCACACGTTCCAGGTATTCTTTCTCTATCAAAATGTCAATGCATTTCTGAAAAAAATAATCACATTTTAATATTTCAAATTAATGCTTCATAAGTAGTCAAATTGCAGCGCGCTGCAGCCCTGTTACCTTGATGACAGGAACACGAGGTTTGAATCGTGAGGAAAGTTGGTTCAGCACTTCGGCCAAAAGCTGCTGGTGCTTTAAAACTTTCCTCATCTTCATAATTCTCACGATAGCTGCCTGTACACAACACCACAAAACAAAACAGGGAGACTCAAAAGAATATTGTATTTCAACTTCAAGGGATTGTTATAGTTTATTTTTAATACCTGTATGAGGAGCTTTCTGTCTTCCTCAATATTCTTGTGTGTCGTCTCCTGTTCTTGTTTCTGCTCCGTCTTCATTGGCACATTGATATTCACCCGTAACTTCTTACTGCACACACAGAGGACAGTGTAGATATGCAGATGACAAATGTACAAACCTAACAATATTTGAAAATATTAGTATGTACTATTTTTAAAATGTTACTGAAAGTCAATTATTAGTGTATACTGTGCAGATCAAACATGAAACTAAGAAAATGCATTTACTTCTTGTAGCCCAAGAAAAGTTTGATTAATGTATCAGGCTTGAAATCCATTTCATCTATGTTTGCATTCTCATCTTCCAAGACCTACAAAAACAAGACAAAAAATGCATATTAAAAAAACAAGTCGTCTAAATCATCTTTAGATTTTATAATTGTATTATAAATATAAAAGTATTCACAAAAACAGTCATATTTAAACAGAAATGTAAACAATTAAGGGAATCACATGGAAACCAGAAGCACGTGGGGAAAAAAGGGCAGATATAAATTGCACTGATGTTGAAAGACATTTATAGGATCCTATAAGCAATTAGTTTTCAACACTTACCAGCAACTTTGATTTCAACAGGATTTGCAAGACCTGAACCAAAATATCCTGTGAAATGCAAAAACAAAAACAAAACAAAAAACATTAAATCAGGAAAACATAAAAAAACAACGCACACACAAAAACTAAAATGCATCGCTAAAATTACTCATTTTTTACAGTGTTTTAAATAATACCGAGACTGATACTTTAAACAGCATGTTTTAGATATTTCAGGTGGATTAAAAATAATTTATAGTTAATTTGATGTTAAACCTCACACTGAGGATTTTCTTTTTAAAAAAAGATTCATCTTTTTTTGTCCCTCCCCCCTTTACACTTGTGTTCCCGGTCAAAAATGACTGGCCTTTTAAAAAATGCTTATCAATATAAATACTTGTGATTTTTAACCAGTGGGATTTAACAGACGAAATCGCTGTTTCTGCTACTTTTTCTTTTTGTTCCAAGTATGAATTTTATACGAGATGGAGATCAAAGTTTACTGATTGACTAACGTGAATGTTGTTATGGGGATATAAAGCAATGGCACTGCACTCACTATTTTGATCTGTGTGCTGTCGGCCAGTTGCTGGACAGTGTAGCTGTTCTCTGTGTTGAACTGGAGCAGGATGGCCATCTGGAAGGTGGAGGCCTGCAGGGACACGACACAAACACATGCTGACACTTGTGCCAGCTGAGTCCTACAACCTTCTTAAAGCGCAGGTCATATGGTATTTTGAAGTGTCCTAATATTGTATTGAGTCCCCCTACAACAGCAAGACGAGCATTTGTGGTTAAAAAGTACGTTTATTTTTTTAAGAAAATGACCGATGGTTTGGCTAGATAAGACCCTTATTCCTCGGCTGGGATCCTGTAGAGGAGCCCTTTGAAGCTGCACTGAAACTGCAATTAGGACCTTCAGCCCGTCGGTTCCCATTGAAGTCCATTATATGGAGAACAATCTTTGCGACTAAAGACAGAAAGGCATGAACATCTTGGATGACATATGGGGGTGAGTAAGTCATCAGGACATTTTTTTCTGGAAGTGAACTAATCCTTTAAATGCATCTAAGGTCAGAAAACATTGTAATTTTCTCAGAATATACATTTAATATTAGAATCATTTTTCAATGATTTCGAAACGATTCGTTCGAAGCAGTTTAAGGTCTGTAAACTCCTCCCTTCCATATGCCTACTCTGCTCTGATAGGTCAGCTGGCCAAGTCTGTTGTGATTGGTCTTTCCGTATGCGTGTCGGAAACGAAACGCTCATTACCATAATAAATGATTTGCTCCGGAGGGTTACTTGTAAACAAAGATGCTATAAGGTTACAAAAATGGCATCGATATTACCTTATCAATTTGAGCCCGAGCCCGATGCAGTCGCTCAACCGGAAACTCCATCGCAAGCATGACTTGATCAGGACGTTTCTCAGTGGTAAGTTTAAACTTTGTATGTGGTACTTTACGTGATGTGACAGCAGTTTTATTGCATTCATTCATTATTATTACTATTTACTTATTTGAGGTAGGGCTGTCGCGGTGAGGGAATTTCCCTTGCGGTAATTTTGAGTGGCTCAATAGATTCCTCTGCGGTTTGCTCGTCAATAGCGCGGTATTGCGATATTGCGGTTATCGCGACAGCCGTAATTTGAGGTGCACGTGTGGGAACTGTGTTAGAATGCCCAGTGAGGCTGAAAACAGCATCTTCTCGACATGATGTAAACACACTAACTAGCGGAAGTGTTTGTGGGCAGGTGGGGATTATGTAAATATATTACCTTGTGACGTATATAGGTAACAGAAGATTCGAAAGTATGACGACTCATTAGGGCGGTTCAGAGTCGACTCTTTCTTTTGGGAGACAATATTTTTTATTTATCGTGCACTTTTTTGATTAACAACATTGCAGACTTTTTACATTGAAGGATAGCTACATTACAAACTGCAAAAAAAAACATGAAAACCCATATGACCTGCTCCCAGTACATGCTGTGAACTACCACTGACATGATGCAGCCATGAAGAAGATACAAACCTGCAGAGTGTATCTGTTCTTGAAGCAGCTGGTGACCAGCTCCCCTTTGGATAGCTGGTAAAGCCATGTCAACTTCCGCCCGCTGTGTCTACTTCCATAAAAAGCTGTAAATCTTTGGTAACTCCGCTCCAACTGTGAAAAACAAAGGCGTTGAAAAACTATCATCAACTGGAAGTGTAATCACACA